CAGAATGGCAGGGCGGACCTTAAAACGCAGTATAATAAAAGGTCTGCCCTCTGTTTTTCAGATATCGTACTATTACAAGGCGAAAATTTTGAATAGGGTTTATTTTCGTAGCATAAAAATTAGGGACAGAGACAGGGCGGACCTTAAAACGCAATATAATAAAAGGTCCGCCCTCTATATTTCAGATATCTTACTATTACAAGGCGAAAATTTTGAACAGGGTTTATTTTCGTAGCATACAAACTAGAGATAGGGCGGACCTTAAAACGCAGTATAATAAAAGGTCCGCCCTCTATATTTCAGATATCTTACTATTACAAGGCGAAAATTTTGAACAGGGTTTATTTTCGTAGCATACAAACTAGAGATAGGGCGGACCTTAAAACGCAGTATAATAAAAGGTCCGCCCTCTATATTTCAGATATCTTACTATTACAAGGCGAACATTTTGAACAGGGTTTATTTTCGTAGCATAAAAATTAGAGAAAGAGACAGGGCGGACCTTAAAACGCAATATAATAAAAGGTCCGCCCCTCTATATTTCAGATATCTTACTATTACAAGGCGAACATTTTGAACAGGGTTTATTTTCGTAGCATACAAACTAGAGATAGGGCGGACCTTAAAACGCAGTATAATAAAAGGTCCGCCCTCTATATTTCAGATATCTTACTATTACAAGGCGAACATTTTGAACAGGGTTTATTTTCGTAGCATAAAAATTAGAGAAAGAGACAGGGCGGACCTTAAAACGCAATATAATAAAAGGTCCGCCCTCAATATTTCAGATATCTTACTATTACAAGGCGAACATTTTGAACAGGGTTTATTTTCGTAGCATACAAACTAGAGAAAGAGACAGGGCGGACCTTAAAACGCAGTATAATAAAAGGTCCGCCCTCTATATTTCAGATATCTTACTATTACAAGGCGAAAATTTTGAACAGGGTTTATTTCCGTAGCATAAAAACTAGAGAAAGAGGCAGGGCGGACCTTAAAACGCAGTATATTTAAAGGTCCGCCATCTATAATTCAGATGTCTTACTGTTAGAAAGAAAACATTTTGGACAAGGTTTATTTCCGTAACATAAAAAATAGTCAGAATGGCAGGGCGGACCTTAAAACGCAATATAATAAAAGGTCCGCCCTCTATATTTCAGATATCTTACTATTACAAGGCGAAAATTTTGAACAGGGTTTACTTTCGTAGCATACAAACTAGAGATAGGGCGGACCTTAAAACGCAGTATAATAAAAGGTCCACCCTCTGTATTTCAGATATCTTACTATTACAAGGCGAACATTTTGAACAGGGTTTATTTTCGTAGCATAAAAATTAGAGAAAGAGACAGGGCGGACCTTAAAACGCAATATAATAAAAGGTCCGCCCTCTATATTTCAGATATCTTACTATTACAAGGCGAACATTTTGAACAGGGTTTATTTTCGTAGCATACAAACTAGAGAAAGAGACAGGGCGGACCTTAAAACGCAGTATAATAAAAGGTCCGCCCTCTATATTTCAGATATCTTACTATTACAAGGCGAAAATTTTGAACAGGGTTTATTTCCGTAGCATAAAAACTAGAGAAAGAGGCAGGGCGGACCTTAAAACGCAATATATTTAAAGGTCCGCCATCTATAATTCAGATGTCTTACTGTTAGAAAGAAAACATTTTGGACAAGGTTTATTTCCGTAACATAAAAAATAGTCAGAATGGCAGGGCGGACCTTAAAACGCAATATAATAAAAGGTCCGCCCTCTATATTTCAGATATCTTACTATTACATAGCGAAAATTTTGAATAGGGTTTATTTTCGTAGCATAAAAATTAGGGACAGAGACAGGGTGGACCTTAAAACGCAATATAATAAAAGGTCCGCCCTCTATATTTCAGATATCTTACTATTACAAGGCGAAAATTTTGAACAGGGTTTACTTTCGTAGCATACAAACTAGAGATAGGGCGGATCTTAAAACGCAGTATAATAAAAGGTCCGCCCTCTGTATTTCAGATATCTTACTATTACAAGGCGAATATTTTGAACAGAGTTTATTAAAAGTTATCGTAGCTTAAAAAAAAAACTCGTTAAAATGGCAGGGCGGACCTTAAAACGCAGTATAATAAAAGGTCCGCCCTCTGTTTTTCTTTTTTCCCACATACATGTATCTCACTTACAAAGCAAAAATTATGGAAATGCTGTAAGTTCCTATTGTTTTTTTTTTCTTTGTTGGTTCGTGTGTTTTTCCAGGGTAAAAAGATAATTAGGTTTTTAATTTTAGGATGGACGCTAAATTAACTTAGAAAACTCTTGGAATGGCCTAATTGTGCATAAGAATTGCATATATACTACATGTAGTAGTGTACTTTTTTTCATTTAATATGCTGACAAAAAGACAAAACTTTAATGTCAATTAATTATCCACTCTATGTACGTTTGCAGGAGATGTGTCTACTGTATTGTATATCTATATGCAACCATAAACATCTGTCTGAAGGGACCAAGGATATACATTATTATTTAATTAGTAATGTTAATGACGTGCAACAAGAGAACTATAACCCCCCACCCCCCACCCCCCCACCCACCACCCCCATCACACACACATAAATAAAAAAGAAATAGCCTCTTAAAGTCGTAGAAAATCTAATTTAAACCAAAATCAAAATAAATATAAAAAATATTAACAAAAGAACACGACTTGGTGGTGTTTTATGAATTTTTATATCAGTCACGATCTCAACAGACACTTTCCTTTTTATTTTAGGGGGAAATACATGTCAAGTTGCTCTGTAAAACCCCTCTGTAAATAGTATGGGTGGATAAGATTCTCCCTAGTAAGAAGGTGGAAAAGGAGAAAATTCTGTACTGAAGCGTACTGAGTATTTCCTATGTGGATAATAAAGCCGGGGTTGTTTCTTCCAAGCTCGCTGCATGTCATTTCCGAAATTTTGCATTGCATTTCCGACATTTTTAGTTTTCATTTTACAATACAATCAACACTAAGTTTAGTAAAAATACAAAGTTTAGAAATAAAACGCAATAATTTCAATAATAAAACATGCAATTTTTGATCACCAAATTTTAATGCCCACTGAATTATATGTGTTTGAAAGCACCGAAAGACAGAATCTCCTCAACTTTGATTACTTTATTCCGTCAAACATAGTTTCTGTATGTCATAAATTCTATCTAAACCTTTCTGATCTCAAATTCAGTCTGATTATCTTGATTTGAAAAGATAAAAAAAAATTCACAACTTACACTTACATGTGTCCGAGGATAAAATCGTCATAAGATTCTTTTAAATATAAGCAGAACTTATTATTTGGAAATCAATGAATTATTCTTGATTTATTCTTTAATTTTTTTATAAGGGAAATTTCAATTTTGTTGTCATTGCCGAAAAAGTACTTTATGATGATAAATGTCAGAGATGAAAATTTAAAACGTCAGAAATGAAAACTACAAAATGTAGGGAATGAAATAAACAATATTTTTAAAAAAATTCCGGAAATAAAATCCTATGCTAGGCTCATTTTCCAGAAGGGGAGGGGTCTTTAAACCCAAGCTCGTTTTTCCGGGAAAAAATATTAATGCGGTAGGAAAGTCTACAACATCAGTACTTTTTAAACTATTTGACATGTATCAGCATAATTTTGCTATACCCCACCCACCAAAAATACAACAACACCATTTATAATGTTTTCCTTTTTTTGGGGAGGGGTGTTTTATTGCTTAAAATGTTCAACTCGATTGACTTTGGTTTGATTTTGCCAATTAATGCACATCTTCCTTAACCAGTGTTAACCCTGGGGTAATATCAAGTAGAATGAAATAATCGTTAGTCTTTAACTGGACAAGAAACGATGGTTATAAAAACACGGGGGATAACACGGGGGATATGCGACTTCAAGTTTCATCAGGTGAGACAATAGGCCTACCCCTCAAAGCACAGACATGTAGTTTTAACAACAACGGGACAGGCTAGTACACCTTAACACAAGTCTCTGTCAAAGTGACCCTCCAATGATTTTATAGTTAGGTACAAATATGAATCGTAAGAATTATGCATAATTATTATTGATGATATAATGAAATATATTTCGAAAGATATGAAAATTCTTTTTGGGAAGTGGAAGTCGAACGTTGTTAGGAAATAGACTGTAATGAAATGATCATTGTTGGACTTACGAACACCATATACTGAACATTGTGCCAGTGAAGGTATGCGTATTATATATATGTATTTTTTTTTATCAATAATAATATATTTATTTTGCAATGATAATATTGATATCACTCAAACTATAAAAGACACATGTCGTACATGATTTTCATATAAGGTAACTCGATCAACAGATCTTTGCATATTTTTTGTTTTGTGCACTACCTGGGAGGTATGTACTACGATAAGGAGCTAACAGTTAATCAGTGCTAACATCAAATTTTGAATAATTTTTTGATAGATAATTTGAGGTTTTGTACTGAGATATATCATAGCATTAGAAATATAATTAATTAAAATTGGCTAACGAAATCCAGCAACTAGCGAGATATCGCAAGACTTAATCCTTTTAGTATATATACAATGTACATACATGTACGTCCCTGGAACTCCATTTTGCTGGGAGGGACACTTTTATAACAACTATACCTTAAATAATGTAAAAAGATTAATAAAGCAAATTAATTTCGAATCAATAAAGGAGAAAAATCTGCATATTAAACCGAAGGCGGACCTTTTATTATAGAGGCAGGCCGGACCTTATATGTTATCGTATTAGGTCCCCCCGGACCTTTAAACGAGGCGGACCAAATATTATGCGACACCGGTCGACAAGAGATGCTTTTCTTTTCTAAGGCACTTGATCCCACCTCTAGTGTTTCTGTATTTTGCCCTGCTCTTGTTTTGCACTGTTTAAATGATTTATAAGGTTGATCACAGATCATTATCTTTCCTTTTTTTATTGTCAAAACTTGTCTCATTACTTTAGATATGTGACAACCTGCATACACAAGCAAGTTCAATATTTGGACGACGGGCCAGTGGGAACCCAGAGCTGTCATTGACAGGAGGGTGTTGTCATGGAGATCTGTGTAATCATCATCAGCTGGTCCCAGAAACCACGCCCCCTCCAACCACGCCCACAACAGTCCCTACAACCACCGCTAGAGGTATAAAACTGAAAAAAAAATCTTAATCCGGCTAGCTACATGTAGTTCTATAATCAGCAGGGTAAGTTACCCGAATGAATATAGTAAGCCACATGTTTTCGTAGAAAATACCAGACGGTTGCTAAAACAAATGCATTAAACATACAAAAGTTTACTATTCATTTCTTTCTTGTATATGTAATTGCCAAAATGAAACAAAGAAATATCTTTTATAAGTGATGCAAGTATTTAGAACATTACGGTAGCCATAAGAGTAATGTTATGGAAACTACAAAAATAAAATGCAAGATTACCGACATTCTACCATGATGAATTCATAAGATAGTAAAAAAATGATTCATTTTTTATTCAATTTTTTTTAGTTTGCAAATACAACTCGAACAGTTGTCCGTTTACTACTGACTACGTTTATCATAACGAATGTTACCATATAGGAAAGACAAAAATGTCCTGGATACAAGCAAAGGTTGGTTGGTGTAAAGAGATTACTGCAATTTGCACTTTTCAAAATTCAAACAAAATGATAAATTATTTATTTCTGATTATTTTATTTTTCCTATTTTAGCACTACTGTGAGTCACAGTGTGGACACCTTGCGACATTTAGAGATCCCTCGACAATGGACCGAATACTCCATTACGTTACCTCTCATCATGTCACCGCTCATGGTAAGTTTTTTGACGGGGGAATTTATTTCTTTGTTTGTGAATGTCTGTATCTTCATAATTAAGAGATAATTAACTAGGAGTCGAATATTGTAATTACAATTTGAATAATTTGATCGAATCTCAAAAATCACAAGATCCCAGCAGTTGAAATATAAGCACTACGATCCTCCCCACCATATATAAAAATGCTATGAAAATTAACAATTTTATTTTACACTGTGTAAAATACGTACAATCCATAATACTTTTATAATTCAAAAAATGACCATCACTAGATACTTAAATTGACAGTTTTAGTGATTAATCTTAAAGAGATAGCACTGTGTTTGTACATTAAAATCAGCATATTATGAATTGCATTACCAAGAGTATCTAATGCTTTGTAGGACATCATGTGTCGGTGACACGCACTGAGCTTTATGTTGATGCTATTGATCCTTCCCACAATAACCACTGGATTTGGGAATCTAACCTTCAGTCAGTTCCCTCTAACATGTTTCACTCAATCAGCTCTCACCAGCTAAGTTACTGTGCCGCTACGACGGCTTCTCTGGGAAAACTGGTGGCAGTCGATTGCTCAGCGCAGTACTTACCTCTCTGCCAGGCAACACAACATCACAAATAGTAAATTAGCGTTTTATTCTCCATTTCAGTGTCTTTTAACTATGTGAATTAGTTGGCTAATAAAGAAATACATGTATATGTTTCTTGTTTTTTTTTTTTTGTTGTTTTTTTTTTTTAGCTCTACTGGTCAGAGACCAGAAGAGCTTATGCGATAATAAGGTGTCCGTCGTCCGTCCGTCTGTCTGTCTGTCTGTCTGTCCGTCCGTCCGTCTGTAAACAATTTTTCAAAACGCTACTCCTCCTACAGTTTTGGTCTGATTTCAATATAACTTAGCACACAAGTAGACTACACTAAGATACATAATTCTGTGTATCAGTTTTTGATTTCAATGAACGGTGTTGCCATGGTTACGAAAAATAGAAATTTCCTTGAAAAACTTTCAAAACGCTACTCCTCCTACAGTTTTGGTCTGATTTCATTATAACTAAGCACACAAGTAGACTACACTAAGATACATAATTCTGTATATCGGTTTTTGATTTCAATGAACGGTGTTGCCATGGTTACTAAAAATAGAAATTTACTTGAAAAACTTTCAAAACGCTACTCCTCCTACAGTTTTGATCTGATTTCGTTATAACTTGGCACACAAATAGACTATACTAAGATACATAATTTTGTGTATCGGTTTTTGATTTCAATGAACGGTGTTGCCATGGTTACTAAAAATAGAAATTTCCTTGAAATACGTTCAAAATGCTACTCCTCCTACATTTTTGATCTCATTTCATTATAACTTGGCACACAAGTAGACTACACAAAGATACATAATTCTGTATATCGGTTTTTGATTTCCATGAACGGTATTGCCATGGTTACTAGAAACTAGAAACTTTCAAAATGACTACTCCTCCTACAGTTTTGTTCTGATTTTAGTATAACTTGACACACAAGTAGACTACACTAAGATATATAATTCTCTATACCAGTTTTGGATTTTGATGAGCGGTTTTGCCATGGTTACTAAAATAGAAATTTTTTGAAAAACTTTCAAAATGTACTCCTCCTACATGTTTTGTCTGATTTCGGTATAACTTGGCATACAAGTAGACAACACTAAGATACATAATTGTTATTATTGCTTTTTGATTTTGTTGAATGATGTTGCCATGGTTACTTAAATCGAATTTTCTGTAAAATTATTTTTAAAGACTACTCCTCCTGCAATTTTATTCTGATTGCAATAAATCTTGCCACAAAAACAGACTAAACCATGGATCATTATTCTATTTATTGCTGTTGCAAAGTTTCAAGTCCAAGTGCTACGTACTTTTATCTTCCTTTATAAGTACAACCAGTAGAGCTACAGTCTCATCAGAGACTTCTGGTTGTCTTTCTTTAGAGCAGCTAACGTCACAAATTTAGCTTTGCTACACGATACTAAATTTGGAGTTCAATATTCTTTGTATCTACCTGCGTAAAAGCCTGTTGAGGTTATTTTCACTGAACACACACTCAGGTCTTTGGCATTAATCATTTCATAACACTTTTGTAATATTGTTATACAGAATAGATAGAAGACATGCAGGGTTTTGGGAAAAAATTTATTTCTATATACTCGGTTGGTTTAAGTTTTCAACGAAATCATTAATACAACTGAAATTATAAACAAATTGCATGTAAATCATTACTACAAAGTTTATCATCTTAATCTATTCGTAAAATCAAATATTTAATTAGCATTATATTAAATATTCCAATCACTGTGTTTCGAAAAGTACATATATGCAAACGTAATTATATATATATATATATAAAGAGAGAGAGAGAGAGAGAGAGAGAGAGAGAGAGAAAGACGTGTGCATGTACATTGTATGTATATATTATTGTAAACCGTGTTTAATCACTGTTCCTACGACCTTTATTTCTATGTACTCTTCTGCTCACATTCCTTTTATAGTCTTAAATTCGTTAAATGTTAACAATAAAGTAAAGATTTTGTATTAGTCTTATATTTTGTTTAACACTAGGTCCTTTTCAAACCATCTTTTTCCTCGCTTCGAGGGATTCATTTGTTTTCTTGCAGGATTTTGTCCGAATAATTTAATTTAAGAGCACGTCTTTTGCAGTTCTAGTAATTAAAAAAGTCACATTATGTGTTCTATTAACAATCTATATGTTCCGAGGATACTCGTCTGTCGTTTCTACTAATTCATTCAGTAGGACAGCGAAAAAGGAAAATTTAATGGCTAGTGTTTCGTCTTGACAATTCAAAGTAAAAATAATAACCTAACAATTCGTATAAAAAGTGTCAGTCAACATTCGACTTAATGATAGATTGTACATGTACTTGTTTGTATCAACCATACAACCATAGAATATGCTAAATGTTGACTTTGAACGAGACTGTTGATATCCTTGATTCATCAACTTATTTGTCAATAGCTTGTCTCGTTTTAGACATGCTCTTGCGTATCGAATCAACTGAGAGACATAAACTCCATATGCAGGTGATAATGGTACATGTATATTGCAAAATAAATAAAGGAAGTTGACGATAGTAAAGTTGAAGTCATCACGTTTATCATAAAGTTTGGTTTGATTACCATTGACATCTTTTTTTCTATCAAAATATCCAAATATGAAACAGATGTGTTAGACTCTGTACATGTGACATCTTTTATTTTGAGTTCAAAGGGAAATATCGAATATACATAGAAATGAAAATGAGTATTGTTTATTTTATTGAAGGCCACAGCAAGAGACTTCTTCATTTTCATGTAGACGTTTTTAAATATATCCTAGTTCATGGGAATACAAAAATAGGTCTGTTTATTACGAGGCGCAATTAGTACCCATAGTAATTCCGAAAGATTGTTGGAAGACTTGATCCCCAAAAACTACATAGATATTGTCAATCAGAAATTCAATCATCTTTTTAATATCAACTTCGGAGTACTTGTGTACTCAATCAGAATGATTTTTAATGACATAGTTTTGCAAATGACCAACGAAATCAAATCGAGTTCCATTTTTAAAAAAAGCATTTCTCCAAGAAGTCTAAGACTAGTCTGTTCTTGAGAAGATTTCTAAAAAATTTTACCTAATAACTTTGACCCCCATTACCTTTCACCCTACCCTCAGTGGTCATGATTTGAACAAACTTAAGTCTACACTACCTGAAGACGCCTCCATATTAATATGACTAATCATGGTTTTGCTAATCTTGAGAAGATTTTTAAACGATTTATACCTATATATTCCTAATATGTCAAACTTTGATCCCCCTTCCTACCCCGGGGTCAAGATTTGAACAAATTTGAATCTACACTAAGTAATGAAGGTTTCTCATAATTTGTTGGCCATTATGGTTCCTTAGAAGAAAAATTTAAAAGACCACCAAATTGTTACTAATGCTTAATAATCATGGCCCTTCATTTGAACAAACTTGAGTTCCCTTTATCCAAGGATTTTTTTGTGGGAAGATTGGTTGAAATTGGCCTGGTGGTTCTGGAGAAGAAGTCGAAAATATAAAAAGTTTACAGATGGACGGAAGACAGACAAAGCTGACTTGAGCTTTCAGCTCAGGTGAGCTAAAAAGAATAGTATGGATGATGAAATCTTGTGTTTATAAGATAAGAAAATCTATCTTTCTAAATCTCGTAATTCAGAAGTAACAAATAATAATTAGTTAGCTTAGTTATACGATCATTGTACGATATGGTCCCAGTCGAAAACAGGTATAATTGTACAGTAAAACACGCTTATAAAGAATTGACGATTACAAATAATAAAAATCCGTGAACAGCTTAAAGACATTAAACACGGACCAACGGAAATTTTAGAGGTGGGATCAGGTGCCTAGGAGGAGTTTGCATCCCAAACCCGACATGAGCCCTATATTTTGATAATGTAGACCGAGTACTCCTTAGACAAGGTTAGTACAAAAAAGATGACGTATAACAAATGCTAAGAAACAGGTCAGACAAAATACGACCCAATGATAGGTTGTATTTCCAAACAGGATTAATTTAACAACCGTAGAATTTCTGAAAATCTGACATTAAACAGAGTTGTTGAAATCCTTCTAACATCAAGATCAGTAGATTGCCTTGGCTCTTGCGAATCGAATCAGTTGGGAGGCACTAAACACCATATATGCAGGTGATCCTGGAATACTTTAGGTACATAATTAAGGGAAATTGACATTGGAAAGATGAAGGCATCCCGTCTGTATATGTAATACAGTTCAGTTTGGCTATTATCGTCTATATCAAATATTGACACTCTTAAATGATGCGGTAGCCTCTATAGTGTCTTTTATTTCTAGTTCACTGTGATATATAGAGTCGATATATATATGACTGATCGTAACTATTTATTGAATAACTTATACATTAGAAGAAGTCTTTTGCTGTGGCCTTCAAATAGTCATTTAATTATCGCGACACTTTATCAATAAACAAAACTCATTTTCATTCATAAGTTGATTCAATATATGTCAATCAACTAGGAATAAAAGACACAGAGACTGACAACCCTGTTTCATATTTGGAGATTTTACTACAGAAAAATATTGATCGCAAATAAACACCTAAATTTCATGATATTGAACTTGACAACTTCAACTTTCCTATCGTAAAGTTCCATTATTTATGTAACAATATATATATTCATCTGCATTTGAGATTTCCATCTCCCAGTTATTTCGACATAAGGGACCATGTTCCAAGTATTTCTGAAATGAGCCAGCCTATTAACAAATAAGATGATGATACATGTATATAAGTAACAATAATCTCGTTTTTCAAATTTTATGGTCAATACAATGTTTAGAAATATAATTTGTCATTAGGTCGAATGATCAAAATTATTCAAAATTAAAGTAAAAATTTTTTGGCCAATATTTTTAAACTTAATCGACTACGGATTTCTCCAATTACCCAGTTATGACATGTGGCACATTGCAGGTGTAACCAGTTGACAGGGGATGCTAACTCCTCCTTGGCACCTGATCCTACCTTCGATGTTTCAGGTCCTTAATTGTTTGTATTTTGCATGGAGATCAACAACATAAAAAAATCTTCCAACTTACTTTTATAGATGAAAAGGGCATCCATGATTTTAAAGTTTTAATAACTGCCCAATACATGTACCATATTAATCAAACAAAACCATAATAACTGTTTTGTCTTTGTCTATTGCATAACCTCAATGTGAAATGAATAACACATAAGAAATAATAAGTTCATTACATTTCCTGTCATAATGTGCACTTTTGTTTGTTGTTATTAGAATTTCATCCATATGCATTTCTAACACTTCCATTTTAAAGCTCTTTCTACTTTGATGAGGTTACTCACTTATTAGATGCAGTCTTTTCTCTTGTTCAAATCCACACTCGTTACACACCAACATATTACCTCTCAAACACTGCATGACATGGATATTGTGTTAAATGAATGTTTTTCCAAAACTTTTAAATTTTTTGTTATGAATAAATAAATAACTAAATGGTCTCTAACTATTTATTGTTCAACAGTGGAAACATACAGTCAACAGGAGATTTAAATGTATATATGTATACACAAAACCAAACTAATACACTGGTGAATATAAAATAAAAATTTTCAAACTCACCAAAACTTGCTACATTGTACAATTTTTCAAAATTTGCAGTTGAGCAATGCCTTTGTCAATTGGACAAGTACAGTTTTCATGTACATATATGTAAGTTTATTTACATATACAAAATGCCATTTTGTACCAAGTCTGATTGTATTAGTAATGATTAACCACAAAATGCACATATTTGTTTCTTATATGACATTTGAATATTTACTTTAAATTGTCATAAAAATCATTTTCAACATTTTAACTGATTCAGAAAAAAAAACCCAGGAAGACAGTAAATCAGAATTATAACATATAAAATGGTGGATAAACATAATCTCGAGATTCTGCTTTCATCTTGAATTTGATATTCTCTGTTATTAGTGGATAATGTGTAGAAAATACATATATATTAATTAAAGCAACTGATATGTATTTTAGATCATGAAAATAAATAGTATGTGTATATAAATTGCAACTTGTTTGAAAAATAATTTGAAATTGATTAGTTTCCCAGTTGAGTTATATTTTTATTGGACATTTACTTTCATTTTAAATGATTACATTCTGCTTATATAAATGCCCTTCACCATTCTAGTATTAATACTGTCAGTGTGATTTGGCAGTCTTCATGTGCTATTTATATTTTTTCTTTATTCATTAAACTGAGAATTCATCAATTTTGCTTTAATTTTTCATTGTTTACTTATACCATTATTTACACCCCTCTTTATCAACATGACACTAAAACTCTCAAGATAGAAATCACAGAACACCAAAATCTACTGTGAAAATACTGTATGATTGTACTAGTATTCTGAACGAATTAGAAACATCAATTTTCCATCAAATTTTACCTGCATGGCACAAAGAATTATTTTGAAGACTATATTTCTGAGTAAATAACTAAATATGCAAGATATTTGTACTGTACAATTCTTTTTTTAGGACACAACAGGGCGTGGTAAATAAATTTAAATCATTAATTGTATACCTCAATGGCTCAATTGAGTGCAGTTCATCCAAATATTACTGTAACTTACAGTTCAACAAATTTGCTTAGCATTTCTTTAATGCTAACAATTTGCAAGAGCCTTTCACACTATCCCTCACAAATTACATTTATGCATAAACCAAAAAAGAAAAGAAAACACAACAGAAAAACTCCTGGCATCAAACTGGGTCAAAAAAATCCCATTTAGTTTGGTCTATCTAACATAAATGTTGGATGGCAACTAAATATGACAAAATAAATAACAATAGTTAAGTAACAAAAGTTAGTCTAGATGTATTAGTTATTTTAAAACTGGTTAAGTTTATTGAGTAAATCACACTGATGTATTATTTTAAATATCACAGGGATAGGTGTTTATATACCGGTATATAGATCTTCACCAAAATTTCTTATTCTGAACAATATTATACCCTGATTCTTTTTACTATTGTAAAAAAAGTTTTCTACAGAGATTAAAGTATATATATACACTGTATAACATACATTTCAAAACAGCAAACTTAAAATATCTGTAATTTTGTGAATATTGCCTCTTAAAAGACATTATCAATAAATAATTTCTTTTCTCATTTTTTTATTGCTCTATTCTTAGCACTGTGAAAACCCATATTAAAAAATGGTATCTCTTAAATTATCAACAAGTTGAGTTCAAAAAATTAAGATAAATAAGAATCTAGAAATCCTTTGATATTAAATTCATCTAAGAGACATCTAAGTTAAGTAATGACGGGTGTCTCTTTTGGAAGTTTGTATGCTGCGTCGAATTCCTTGACCTCCTCCAGCTGTTCTTTGGGGGAGGGGTGGTCTTTGATGTGGACTTTGGGGTACTGCTCTGGATGAGAGTGAATTTCTTTCTCTACAATCTCTATATGGTGCTTCTTTCTATCCTCTGGCTTTGTCAGGTAGCTGCAGAAAAAATACCTATGAATTATCCTCCGAGTGGTTGTTAAATTATTTTCTCAATTTTCAGTAAGGTATTTCATGTTAATTAAAAAAAAATATGCATATAATGCAAAAAAAAAAAAAAACAACTTTGCAACTTAACTTTTTTAATGCTCAAATCTGCATTGAATAAATTACACTTTAGTGTCTTATTTACTTTCTAAAAATACATAACAGAAGGATAGTAATTAGTTTGCAATATGACAAGAGGACTTCACTGAATTAAAAATGATTAAACAACTTACATATAGACTTGGCCTCAAAGACTAACTAGATAGTGATTTATGTATTTATCAGAATCATACACCTGTATTCATAGGACTATTATAATATATAATCATACACCAGTTGATGTTTCTACAGGTTTGACCACATTATTTATATGTAGTGGAGAAATTAAACTGACTTGCAAGTAGTTGATGTCCCTTCAAACTTGGAGATACTTGCATATAGGTGATGTATCTATGCACTTGAATAGACTCAGACTTAGACTGACAAGTATATGACGTATTCAGTACATGTTTGTACTGTACACTTCAACTTACAAGTAGTTGATGTATCTACAGGCTTGGACACACTGAGCAGTAATGTTGGTCATGTGACAGGCCAAGAGCAGCAGGTTACGAGGTTTGACCATCCAAGCAAACCGCGCAAATGCAGATGAGTAACCAATGAGGGCTGAAATAAGAAATGAAAGAAATCAACCTTCTGAACTTATCAGTTGTTATTTTACTGATGTGAAACCTTAATTAAACATGCACTGAAGGTAAATGCAAGGTGTTAGCAATTGCTAAAAAAAAACTGACAAGCTTTAATAATTAATGCAATTGTATGGTACTGTCATATGCCAAGAAAATGTCCAAAAAAGTTTTACTGTCCTCCTCAGTCATATATAGCATATTGCTACTGAATCTTTAATATCTGGGTATGACAACTACCTTAACATTAAAGTTGAAGCAAAGGTGAAGGTTGCAGGCAAAAAAAATAAAAAAATAAAAATGATATGCTTGCCTGAATTCATTTCAGCACACACATGTACAGTTCATAAAGCTAGGAATAATATGTGCAACTTTAATTCATGTTATGCATATAATGATAAGTTTTCATATAATATCCAAGATCACATTTGAATATCAAGCATGCCATTTTTTTTCTACTTTTATACCTGGGGTCATAAAAGGACTGATCAGTTCTGGGTCTTTCTGGAAATCCCCTATAGCTGCCAAAGGAATGGCCCAATTTGCAACTGAAAATCAACAGCATCAATTTACTAAACATCACATTAATTGAACATATTAAAAAATGATCATAAACAAGGGCACCTCAAGTGTAGCATCCCCTCCCAAAAGAGCATATTGATCCTAGCTGATATAAATTGTTACTTGTGTAACTTTTGTTACACTTCCCACACTAACCCCCACACCACCTCAAACCCCCCCCCCCCCCACACACACACACACAAGCACATTACTATATCCCCTCCAACATTGTGGGGGGGGGGGGGGATAAAAAATGTGGTAAGTGAACATATCTATAGAGATAAATTAGTACTTGATAGTCAATTCAGAAATCAATATAAATATGTTTGATTGAAATAAGTAATTTATTTGCATACCTGGTCCCCAAAAATGCTGCAAGTAAATAATACAAGTTAAATTAAATTAAATGTTCAACAAATAAAACAAATGATAGGATCTCCATTATTTTAAAGATCAGTCTGAACATTCCAGAATCAGTAATACATGTATATAGTAATAAATATGAGATGGTTATACTTTCATACTTCACAAGAAAATTTTCCTGAGAAATTACTCTCTCTGTACATGTACCTTTTTATTTCCAGACTTATTTGTTAGACATAGCCTAGAACATAACTATGAACCTTTCAATTGCTTAAATTAAGTAATTTGAAAATCAAAGAATTCAAGTTTTATTAAAATGTGATTTTCGAAAGGAATATTTGAATTTACTTACTGTACTGTAATGGTAACAATCCAGGTAAATATGAAAAGGAAAAAAAGGCATTGTAGAAAACATTGACAAAAATTTTCACCTAAATAAGTGGTTTAAGTACATGTATCTATTAGCCGTTTCATAATGCTGTATTTTCATTATCAATGGCAGCACAACGAACTGTTATTTTCATACTATTCACAATATTATAAGGTCAAAAATCTTTAATCACGACATTCCCCTCATTTTTGTATGTGATATTTATATTGTATTACTTTACTCAGCATTGTCACCGATAGGTTATTCTCCTAAATGTTGGACACACAAGTTTCCTCTGCAGTACATATTCAACCTTGTTAAATTTATAAGGTAATGGAGTGAAATTATGTAGGTGGAGTGGTGGACACATTCATCACTTAAGGGAGTAAGAAAATCAAGAAACCTTTTCATCACTATTTGTAATTACTATATATAATTATTTTTAGTTACTATTTTTTTTTTACCCTTTGCTATTAAATCTCAATAAATGAATAAATCAAGATAATATTGAACAGGTCTAAACTTCTCATTTCATTGTAAAGGGACACAAGTTTCAATGACAATATCTGGATTAACATCATATGCAGTATATCTCTCTATCATAATTCAAATTTCCAGTACATTACATTATGTATCCTGTCAACTCAACATATAGATCTACATAATAACAAAATCAAGGAGATTCAAGTTGACACTAATGGTCCAGAGGTGTGCAATTACCATCGCCCGACGCCCGGGGCTACCAATTTTAGAGATGGGCTATCATAAATATATACTGCGTTAGCCCGTCGGGCTAGTAAATCTAAAACGAAAGTATACGTATATTTTAACCTATATGTTTTGTGTGTTGCTATCGCCAGTCGTTTCAGTGACATAATAATTATAGTCGATAAAATAGGGAGAAATACCTGACAATAACAAAACGAAAACCATTATTTGTTTTATTTATTTCAACTTAAATGGTTTTTTTTAACCTTTTTGTTATACATGTATTGTTTTCGGTAGTTAATGGGCTAGTGACTGGCAACCTCGGGCTAGTAACTTTGTTACTGCCACTAGCCCGACGGGCTATTAACTAACTTTTGTAATTGCACACCCCTGTGGTCCAGTGCTTATATACTCGTGTTCTTCTGTTGTGCTCTGAGTGAACATGGTGAACAAAGATTATAATCAGATGCAAGTTCTGTTCATCACATTTGTATGAGTTCATCATCCTCTACTGGAGCCAGTCCATGTACACCATAAAAATTAGGAAGACAGACTCAGAGACAATTTAGACAAGCTTCATCACCGATAACACTGAGATTCAAACTATTACACTTACTCTTTGCAATCTTAACATCATTAATAATCTGACAATAAACAATTGGTCTATGAAATGAGAAATATGAGGAAGACAAAGCAAAAAATATATATAAACTGATGATTTACATAACAAAGAATTACTGAATTTAAGTTTTTAACTGGACCATGATGCAATTTTACACATGTGATCTCAATACATGTATCTGATTTGATTATTTATGTATGCATGGTTATCCTTTAATTGTTAGACAGAGGGCTGTGTCAAATTTTTGGATAGTTTACCTCTGCATTCAACACCACCTCTTTGTATAAATAAATCAGGACAGACTAAAGTATTTATTCATTCCAGTCTCCCCTTACTTGGCTAAAAATGAATATTATTAACAGTATACATTATTCATGATGCTGCTTAAGCAGGTCCAGCACAACCTCTTGATTTAGCTATATAGCTTGAATTAAATATATACTATTCAGAATAGCTTGATAGAGCTATTTATGTGCAGTTTTTCACAAAAATATTTTTTATAAGAAATATAAGACAAAAAGTCAACAGTATTTGATTATTCATATATGTACTATGGACTATCAAAAAAGCAATCCAAATCAAAGGTAGTTCTGAAATTGCAGCTTTTAAATACTTTTAAGCAAAAGATGTATTTCCATTGTTTGGATAACTGTGTAACACCTTGTGTGCATTGAAGCTTGGATAAGAGTGTTGGTAAAATGGGTAGGCAAACCCGGGCCGGGGCAAATTAAAAACCGGGGCTGTTCGATATTTTTCGATTTTCTGTCTTAATTCTTCATCGATCAAGCTGATTTTTTCAGAATATGTCTGATATAGGTTTATTTGTATTCGCTGTAAAAATTGCCTTGAAACACTCAGTAGTTTAGATTTTATCGGCGGTTGCTGATTTCCAAGTTGGTAAAATGGGTAGGCAGTATCAAGTCAATATTTTACGTGTATTTTGACAAATGTGACAATGAACAAGTAATCTTTTGAATTATTGCGATGTATAACAATGTGTATTAACTAGAAATAGTTATTTCTTTACTGGGAAATGCTTTTTTATGCTTAAATACACATTTTCATAAAAAACCGGGTCATTGAAACCGGATCCGATCAACCGCGACAAACCTGAAAATTCCGAAATAATGATATCGCCGTACCTTGTTTCATAGGGGGTTCTCAGGTTGTAAGCCTACACCTTTGTGGTATTGTCTAGCTCTTAACTCGTGGGTAGTATTTAAATAAAAGTTCATCAACATAATTTCTTTATAACTTCCTCTCCCCAATGAACATAACAAGCCACTTTTGTTATCCCAAGCAGCTTAAATTATGTTTGATTAACATGATTAATGTTTGGCACAAGACTTTGTATTAATATCCATATAATTATATGTCAAGATTCTTAAAATATTTTCAATATCAATAAAATTTAAATACAAACATCCAACAAATAAATTAAATAGAGTTTTTTTTCCAGGTGACAATAGTAAAATGTAATAAACAAGTATTTCAGATTTTTCGTGTTTGTAACGAGTGATCGGATCCGGTTTTAATGACCCGGTTTTTCTAAAAACGTGTTATTTTACTCAACAGAAACACATTTCAAGGAAGAAATAATTAAAAATAGTTTAGATATACTGTTAAACATTAGAATATTTCATAAGTTTATTAGCTTTTTTTGTCAAATATGTCCAAAAAATCGTAAAATGTCGGCTTACTACTGCCTACCCATTTTACCAACTTGGAAAACAACAATCGCCGATAAAATCTGAAATAGCAAGTATTTCAATGTAAATTTTACAGCGAATACAAATAAACCTATAACAAACATAATCTGAAAATTTCAGCTTGATTAATAAAGTATTAAGACGGAAAACTGAAAAATCCTGAACAGCCCCGGTTTTTAATTTGCCCGGCCCGGGTTTGCCTACCCATTTTACCAACACTCCTTGGATAAGCATAAGTGCTTCACACTATGCTGAATTATTACCAATCAATTAATTTACTTTCTTTATAATATGTCAATAAGGAAGTACAAATGTAACTGTAATATCACATATTAATTAATTGCTTTATATATAAGCCCCAAAACTTTTAGAACTTTGAATTCAATGTCTCTCAAGGAGAGATCGACACAATTTTATGATAAGACTTTTACATGCATGATTGTCTATACAGAAGTGTTCACAGTTGAAAACTATCACTGCACCAAGGAGTGACTTTTTGTCCATTCTAACTAAAATAGCAAGTTCAAGAAAAAGGTATGATAAAATAGCTACATCAAGCTATTCTAAATAGCTTAATAAAGCTATATAGTTAATTCAAGCTACATAGCTAAATCGGGAGATTGTGCTGGACCTGTTAACTGGTTAAGTGTGGTTTATTTTGAATGACTGGGCACAGTCTGATCAGCAACCTTTGTATTTGGTCAGATGCTTCACTGCAACAGCTATAAATATATTCAGGTATTCATTCTGCGAGACACATATTGACATGCACTGACAGCATGCTGACTGTACCTGTGTACTTGCACATATGTACTGATGCATGCAAAAAATAGACATACAATAATCACTGGTGTTCAAAAATTGCCGTTCCAAAAATGTACCTTGTCAGATATGCTCTCCATGACATTCCAGCCATCTCGAGATTTTTATTGACGGTCTATGACTTTTTTTCTTTGTAAACTTAAGTTTATTATCGCAGGTATGTATCGGCTGTGTCTCTTTGCTGCCTTGACCTTACTTGCGTTCTTGTACTTATAGTATTATTCCAGGTAGATTCAAACGCCTTGATGTACCAGACTGACTAAAATTTTGGAAGTCCTCGGGATTTATTATTAGGGTGCATTCAAAGCAGAAAGGAAAATCTGAAGCGTTGAAAATGATGCACATGCAAAATGATCCAAATGCACCTATCACTTCAGCAGAAAGAGCCCAAAGATCAGTATTTGGTAAGTGATGAAACACGAATACTGTAAATTACAAACTTTTGACCAGATACATGTAATCATAAAGGTATGAGTAATCCGAATTTGTTCAACAAATAAAAAAAACAACAACAATAACAACAAAAACAGTTTAATGAGCAGCTGATGAGTTTTAATGGTAAGTTATTTTTCCCAATTATCCCCAAAATGTTGCTTAATTTCCAAATTTTAATGGCCTAGCCACCGTACCAAAAATTGGTCCGAGACCCCTGATATTTAAAGTTTTGTAGTAGTGTGTGAGTTGATTTACATGTTTAACCATTGATGAAAAATTTAGGGCTATACATGTACCTAAAATTTAAAATGAAAATGTCCCCAAATAAAGATTTTTAAATTATAATGCTTTAATTTTTGTAGTGGGTAATATTCCTTATGAGACAACAGAGGAACAGTTGAGGGAAATATTTTCTGCTGCTGGTCCAGTTGTGAGTTTTAGGTAAGATCCCATCAAGATTGTCCTCAAGGTGTCGTGGAAGTCACTCCTAGGGCAATGATCCTGTTCTGAAATAATCAATCAAGTGTATAATTTGGACAAAGTAAGCAATATTTTGTCATTGCAGGAACCACCCTGAGTTATTAGCTCACCTGAGCCGAAGGCTCAAGTGAGCTTTTCTGATCACATTTTGTCTGTAGTCCGTCTGTCCGTCCGTCTGTCTGTAAACTTTTCACATTTTCGACTTCTTCTCAAGAACCACTGGGCCAATTTCAACCAAACTTGCCACAAAGTATCCTTGGGTGAAGGGGATTCAAGTTTGTTCAAATGAAGGGCCACACCCTCTTTCAAGGGGAGATAATAAAGAATTAGTGAAAAATTATTAGCATCTTTTAAAAATCTTTTTCTCAAGAACCACAAAGCCAGGGAAGATGAAATTCATGTGGAAGCATCCTCAGGTAGTGTAGATTCAAGTTTATTCAAATCATGACCCCCAGGTGTAGGGCGGGGCCACAGTGGAGGATCAAATTTTTACATAGAAATATATTGGAAAAACCTTTAAAAATCTTCTTCTCAAGAACAGCAAAGCCATGATGAGTCATATTTATATGGAAGCATCCTCAGGTAGTGTAGATTCAAGTTTGTTCAAATCATGACCCCCGGGGGTAGGGCGGGGCCACAATGGAGGATCGAAGTTTTACATAGAAATATATAGGAAAAATCTTTAAAAATCTTCTTTTAAAGAACAGCAAAGCCCTAATTGGTCATATTTATATGGAAGCATCCTCAGGTAGTGTAGATTCAACTTTGTTCAAATCATGACCCTCGGGGGTAGGGCGGGGCCACAATGGAGGATCAAAGTTTTACATAGAAATACATAGGAAAAACCTTTAAAAATCTTCTTCTCAAGAACAGCAAAGCCGTGATGAGTCATACTTATATGGAAGCATCCTCAGGTAGTGTAGATTCAAGTTTGTTCAAATCATGACCCCCGGGGTGTAGGGCGGGGCCACAATGGAGGATCAAAGTTTTACATAGAAATACATAGGAAAAACCTTTAAAAATCTTCTTCTCAAGAACAGCAAAGCCGTGATGAGTCATATTTATACGAAAGTATCCTCAGGTAGTGTAGATTCATGTTTGTTCAAATCATGACCCCGGGGTGTAGGGCGGGGCCACAATGGAGGATCAAAGTTTTACATAGAAATATATAGGAAAAATCTTTAAAAATCTTCTTCTCAAGAACAGCAAAGCCCTGATTGATCATATTTTTATGGAAGCATCCTCAGGTAGTGTAGATTCAAGTTGTCCAAATCATGACCCCGGGGGTAGGGCGGGGCCACAATGGAGGATCAAAGTTTTACATAGAAATATATAGGAAAAATCTTTAAAAATCTTCTTCTCAAGAACAGCAAAACCCTGATTGATCATATTTATATGGAAGCATCCTCAGGTAGTGTAGATTCAAGTTGTCCAAATCATGACCCCCGGGGGTAGGGCGGGGCCACAGTGGAGGATCAAAGTTTTACATAGAAATACATGGGAAAAACCTTTAAAAATCTTCTTCTCAAGAACAGCAAAGCCATGATGAGTCATATTTATATGGAAGCATCCTCAGGTAGTGTAGATTCAAGTTTGTTCAAATCATGACCCCCGGGGTGTAGGGCGGGGCCACAATGGAGGATCAAAGTTTTACATAGAAATATAGAGGAAAAATCTTCTTCTCAAGAACAGCAAAGCCCTGATTGATCATATTTATATGGAAGCATCCTCAGGTAGTGTAGATTCAAGTTTGTTCAAATCATGACCCCCGGGGTGTAGGGCGGGGCCACAATGGAGGATCAAAGTTTTACATAGAAATATATAGGAAAAATCTCTAAAAATCTTCTTCTCAAGAACAGCAAAGCCCTGATTGATCATATTTATGTGGAAGCATCCTCAGGTAGTGTAGATTCAAGTTTGTTCAAATGTTGACCCCCTGGGGTAGGATGGGGCCACAATGGAGGATGAAAGTCTGAAATAGAAATATATAGGAAGATTTCTTCTGATGAAGAACTGCAAAGCCATGATTAGTCATTTTGATATGGAAGGATCCTCAGGTAGTGTAAATTCAATTTTGTTCAAATGATGACCACGGGGGTAGGGTGGGGCCCAATGGGGGATCGAAAGTTTTACATAAGAACACATAGAAAAAATTATTTCTTCTCAAGAACAGAAAAGCTATGTTTAGTCATATTGATATGGAAGCATCCTCAGGTAGTGTAGATTCAAGTTTGTTCAAATGATGACCCCTGGGATAGGGAGGAGCCACAATGGGGGATCAAATTTTTACAAAGGAATATATGGGAAATATTTTTTAAAATCTTCTCAAGTACAACAAAGCCATTTGTTATTTTGACATGGAAGCATCATCAGGTAGTTTAAAATTCAAGCCCCCCCCCCCACCCCCCGTTATCTTTTCAATACTGGACTGATTTGTGCTTTAGCCTAGCCAATGTGCTCAGGTGAGCGATGTGGCCCATGGGCCTCTTGTATTTACTCTATTTGTACTCATGCTGTTATAATTTCTGACTTTTATGTACAGTATTACAGAAAAATTGTTACATATTATCATGAAAGTAAAATCATGTAGTGTATATTGCAAACAGGGTTCAACAGTAACAATGGTCCTTTAGTCTCAGACTAATACATTTTCATTCAGACTAATAAAATCCGTGGCTAATAAGTCCAAGCGGACTAATAAAAATTTCTGGAAAAAAATCAAAAAATTACAGATGTCCGATTCTCAACTACTTTCACTGGAAAACCCCACATGTATTTTTAGCTTCTTAGCGGGAAGTTAGGTAATTCAGAGTCAATTCTGCGCTTAATTTTAGGACTGATTGGTATGAAATTAAACAGTTTAGCGATCATGACTTAGTATGACACATAAAGAAAGATGTCGGATGTTTGGATGTAATGTATATAGAAAAACGAACAAGATCTGGAATATGATCATAATTCCTGATCGCGAGATTTCAACGAATCTTAGAATAAAACATTTCACCTAAATGCTTTGTTTATTTTTTAAAAAAGTATAAAATGTACATTGCAATGTTTATTTTTAAATTAACCGTTAAAGAACATTGATGTTTTTTTTTTGACGGACTCATAAAATCGCGTGCAGACTAGTTAAAGTAAAGAAGCACTAGTCCGGCCAGACTAAAGCCTATAAATGTTAGTGTTGGACCCTGGCAAATATTTTCATCAAACCATTCATTCATTCATTGATTCATTCATTCATTCTCTATTTCCTCATTATATGAGATAATTTCATAGAACAAAACCAGCTGTACCAAATCTGTGTTGTCTGGTGTGTTTAAGAAGTGCTTATTCTTACAGTTTTGTAAAGCTTTTTTTTAAATCATTAATTAGTAATTATAATCATTATTTTATCATATATAGACATTGCCACAGAGCTGAACATTATGAATACACATGTATACAAAAGATAAAGCAGGGAAATTTTTGATAGCAAGAGGCAAAGCAACTTTTAATACAAAGATAATATCTGGATTTGCTGTTTATCATGGGGAATATTTTTAAAATGCACCTTTTCTTTAATGTACTGGATTGTAAGTGCAATAGAGTGTTCAATCTTATGCCTTTTTTTTTTTTTTTTTTTTTTTCGTCATTTGGTTTAGATTAGTTGTGGACTAGCAGAACTGTTGTAATGTGAAATAATGAATTTATACATACATGTTACAGATTAGTCTATGACAGAGAGACAGGGAAACCAAAGGGCTATGGATTCTGTGAGTACCAGGATGTGGAAACCGCCCAGAGTGCCATGCGGAACTTGAACAACTATGATTTCAATGGGCGGCCTCTGAGGGTGGGCGTGGCAGCTGGGGAGCAGAATAGGGATGAAATGAAGGGATTACAGCAGGCACTAGGGGGTCCCATCATGGAGGTTAGATGATGTTATGTTAGATCAATTAAAAATTAGATATTTTTAATGCAAGCTAATATACATGATATAAGGGTATGCAAAAGTAGACCATTCAATTTGTAATTATAAAAATTTAACATCATTGGAAACCCATGGTCAATCTTGCATATGCTTTTTGAATAAGCCTATGGTAGATTTACCATGCATATCAGATGATAGAACTTAATGGCTTAAGGGCTACATATAATTCAGTTATTCTAAGGGGTGGAACAATGTTAAAATTTTAATCTCCCCCCCCCCCCCCCACTTTCATCTGTAGAATGAAACTAAAAAGTGACCAATTAAATTTTTCTCAATTCCCATCAATGAAAAAAAGAAATACAAGTGTGTATTAAATGATATACACTGAGATTAAGTTATGGGAGGTAATTGTAACAATCTAAGACAACTTTCCCCAGTGATTCTGTTTTTCTAGTATTTTGTGAAGATGGGCTGAACTGTTATGGTGAACTCCATTAGAAATATAAGAACAACACTTTGACATGTTAAATGAAGAGGGTTTAGTGAATGTAATATATGACAGCCCCAAATGCAATAAATGTGTCTCTGGCCTGCATGTAAACAGTGACCTAGCTACTAGAAAAACAACTTCTTGTGGGAAAAAAAATTGCTGGATATTAAAAAGCAATACAAAATGACAACAGCTTTCACTTTTTATCATTGCTATTGGACATAGATTTGGATTGTTACAAAAGGACTATAGTTGAAGACTAGAGAAAATGTTTGAATTATGATGTAGAAGATTTTGACATTTGAACAAGTGACAATAATGATATTGAATTACATGACTAACAGGCATGGCAGATTTGCCACTATGTTCTGGAAGATCTGTCCTTCAATTGGAAATTTGCAAGTTTGTTGCTGGGAGGGACAAACAGGTCCCTCTTGTCAACAGCAAGTTCTGGAGGAATCTGGGTCTAATTCCACTATTTGTGTACAGTTTTTTAGTCCCAGTGTACTGGTTACAGTACAAGTATTTTAGAAAAGGATGTTCAGTGCGTGAGGATAAAATTAACATGTTAATGATGCCCCAGGAACTAGAGAGTATGTTAGACAGGGAATTAGAATTTAAAATTTCAGTAGGCTCTAAGAGCTCTTACTCAGACATTTTTTTCAAAGTCAACCATTGATATTTATCTGTTTCATTATCAGAAAGCAACACTCGCAAAGTCACTTAACTAACACAAGCAGTTTGTGCTGTGAACAGTGCAATAAGTGTTACAAATAGCAAACTGAATGTGGTTCAAGTTTAACAACCTTTAATCTAGTGTTGTCAAATCGGACGATTTTTAGTAGCCGGTTACTCACTTAGTTTACCGATCGAGTAGCCTATTACTCAGAAGGTTTTTCTTTAGAAATCAAAACATTCTTGTTCGCAGTATATATATAGTCATCTGTAATGTAAATTGTATGAAATGTCATTACAATTTCAGAATCTATATATTTATCTTATTATTTGTATATCGGTATATACAAAACACAAATGCACTACATATGAACTTTATTTGTAATTACAAACACACATAATATCTTCTAAATAAATTTGTTCTCGAACACCCCATAATTGTTGGCTGTTTGCGTTTTATATATCGCTGGTTTCACAGCTACATGAAAACTTCAGTCTGAGGTGTTTAAGAATATTAGTTATGCTACCCGTGTATGTTAATTCCATTTTACATTAATTTACACCTCACGGATATAAATTCAGCCATTCTTTTGAAAATATTTTGATGCATGTGACGGCATCTTCTTTAATCTTGTACTGTGGACTAGCAGAGGTTTATGTGAGGTATTTATAATTAAATCAAGTCTTCAAAACTTGTATACCCCTTGGCAATCAAAGCCATCAATTAGATAAACTGTGAAATACTAATCAAAACAAATCACTCACATTTGTAAAACGCTAGGTCGAGACTAACGTTAAATGACGGTAAATAAAATGGGGACATTATAAACAAAAATACATTATTCCTACTCATTTACTTTATAAAATTCTCAATAAATCCGAGTAACCGAGTAGCAGTTTTACTAACCGATACTTGCATCATTCGACAATTAAACGGTTAACCGGGTACTCGTTGACAACACTACTTTAAACAATACATTCTGTCACACCAGTAAATCTCGCATTCAATTTTGGATAACAAAAGGGTACTAATAGAAATGAGATTCATTTCTCATTTCAATGATGGCAGGGTGGTGCCAATAAGATGTATTTGTCAGCTGAAAGTGAGGTTAATTAAATGATAAATAAATGTACTGTTAGATGCATTGTTTGGGTAAAATTTAATTTTTGAATATTTATTGTTAAATTTTGAATCATTTTCTGTATTTTGACAGAGTCCCTATGGAGACCCAGTGGAGCCAGAGAAGGCTCCAGAGGCAATCTCCAAAGCTGTGGCCAGTCTACCCCCAGAGCAGATGTTTGAACTCATGAAACAGATGAAGGTAGCTCCATTTATGTAATATTCACAATACTTTGGTACAAATTAGTACTTTCCAATAGAATTTTTTGCTGTAAATTTTCATTTAGCTCAGTAAAATCTTTTCTTTCTTGCAGTTATGTATCCAGAACAACCCGACGGAGGCCAGGAACATGCTGCTACAAAATCCACAGTTGGCCTACGCATTACTGCAGGCTCAGATTGTCATGAAAATTGTCGACCCACAAGTGGCCATGGTAGAATCTCTATGGCAATAAAAATAACTGAATTTATAGTTTTTATATTCTGTGATGTTCAAATTTGAATTTCTTACATGTGCAGATAAATTAGTGATCATATTTTCTTCAAATTTTGTGATCAGAGAAGTGCCTCAAAATTAAACATATTTTTAAATCAGTTATTTTCCCTTATTTCCACAGAAATATCCCCCATGCATAGGGGTTTATAAACAAAAATTTAATACTACAAAAATTTTCACAGTGTTTAACCATATTGATGACTTGTATTACTGTAGGCTATGTTGCACAGAGACACTAAACAGATCCCCCCTGCCAGTGTGCCCAGCAGTGTACCTATCTCAATACCCCTCAGTATTCCTCAGGTTTGTCAGAGGCCTATCAAATATGAACACTCTAGTTATTCCAAGACTGTCAGAGATAATTCAGTATAACTATTAATCACACATGTACAATCATAGCAAGCACAATGCTTGTCTTGTGAAATGAATACATTTCTTTAAAAGGAAACAGTTGCTAAAACTTGTACTATATATAAGAGATTTTAAATTGTCATAGGTATACAGAATAAAAATGGAAAATGATTTTGAGAACTGTATTAAGTTCAAATAGTAGATTTTCTTCATTTCAGGTACAGCCAGTTTCAGCCCCAGGACCAATTCCAGGTAAACTTTTGCAGGTTTTTTTTAAGCTCACAGAGGAAATGCATCACAATCAGATCATTATGACCTTTTTAAGTCTTAAGAGCCCTCTATACACTGCACACTAAAGTGTTCTGATTTTGTGGTATTTTAATGCAGATAGAGTGATCTGCCCTTTGATCAAGAATAAAGTAAATTGGAATGTACAGTTTATTACTTAATTTGTGATCAAATCAACCATTCATAAAACTTTAATAGGCAAAGAGGAATAGATGGAACACTTCATTTGCAGGTATTTTGTCCACTGTAGTAAACAACAGTAATTTCTGTTCATCAGTACTTCATTGTCTTTGAACATTTTTCCTGGGGGTAAATGCGAGGCACCCTATGTTAAAAATATGATAGATAAGCCCAATATTTACACCTTTACACACTATAATTTTCTCAATGTCCAAAAAATATTTTCTTCTAGTGTATAGAGGGTCCTTTAATGTCAACAACAAAAATTAATAATAACAGTTAAAAATTCAGCCTTTGAATAACACATGTATATGAAATTGAGAAATCAACTTCATTTTCTGGGTGTTAATGAAGCCTTTTCCTTTGAACTGAATTTTAGCCTTAGAGTGGTACATGTATTTTTGCTTAAAATCTCCTTCTTTTTCCCACCTGAACAGGTCCACAGGTTCAGATGCCTGGAGGACCAGGACCCAGAATGGTGGGACAGAATCCAATGAACCCCAACATGCCGGGTCAAGACATGATGGGACCACGGGGTCCAATGATACGTAAGTGTCAATACATGGAGCTGTTTATAGATAGTTTGGATTTTCTTTGGCTATATAGGTAATAATGAATAAATCTATAGATGTGGCACATTAGAAAGGATCAAAAGTCTAAAAAAAAAAAATAAAACCAACTTCTCAAGGGAGTATAATTCTACTTCTATACTGATAGGGTACATAAATGTTGATAATTAAAGGTGAAATTAAAGTACGAAGTTGAAGTTGAAATAAATCAATTGCATGCATGAAACTCTACCAGAATATAGATTTGGAATCTGCAGTAATCAGGTCTCCTGTTAAATCGAACTATTAATAAAAGGCAATATTTTTTGGAAAACAGTTCAGTTTATAGAAAATATCTATCTTTTCATATAATCATTCAAAAAGATTTTTTTCATCATACAGATGTATGTTAAATAGCAATCATGCAGAGTACCTTTCATCATAATATTATAGGTTTTTTTAAATATTTTAAATGAACTTTTCTTTGGTTTTCAGGTCCAAACATGGGCATGCCCGGTGGGCCAGGTCCCAATATGGTTATACCCGGTCAGCCAGGACCAATGCCACAGGGCCCAGGACAGCAACCCATGGGACCAGGACAACAGCCCATGGGCCCGGGACAGCAGCCCATGGGACCTGGTGTGAGACCAGAGATCAGAGACCCCAGAATGATGGGCGAGCCGCGCATGATGGGAGATCCCCGAGCTATGGGTCCACGCCCAGGAATGCCTATGCCCACCACCACACAGTCTGCACCTATGCCAAGGTTACCGACAGGGCTCTTGGTAAGTGGCTAAAGATAATAAACCTGTGTTCCATAGATTATGTAGGGGTGTAAGAACACATTGAAAAAAAACAAAGAATTAAAAAGAATGTCCCATGGTTTGTGGTTAGATACAGTGTATGATTTTTTATCAAACGAGTAGTATGTTTTATCGTCAAGTCTTGGTGAGGGGATAAAAACACACAAGTTGGATGAAAAGTCATATCTTACCACAAACCATGGGAAATTCTTTTTATCACATGTTTTTCACATAGCTATTTTATGTTTTACACTTTTTAACATGCATGAATCCACAATTGATCAAATTCATGCAAAAAGCTATCACAACTATGATTCCACAACTGTGGATATGAAAACAATATTCTATAAACTATATCCACTGTATAAAGGAGTAAACATGACAATCTTTGATATTTTACAAAACCAAAAAACCCCACTTATTTTGGTTTGTAACATATTTTCACACAGTGATTTCAAAGTAAAATATTATCCGCTCGCTTGGGATTGTAAATTTAGGGCAAGACATGATAACAAATTGGTTTGTAGGGGGTTGTGCTTACCAAGAATATACAAGATTGGGAGAGATATGCATTTTGTCAGTAAAGAAGACAATGACATTACATGGTTACTGTATACAAATAAACATACTTATAACAAAGTGCTAGGGACAGTCAATTTTGCTTCTTTATAAATGTAATTCGTTATATCTGTTAGATTCACAATATATTTCAAACCATGGGGAATGAAAATCACTTCAATGTAAGCATCACTTCATTATAAGCGTCTTCACTGTAATTGTGTATAACTGTATTCTGCAATACTTTATTCTAATATGCTTTACATTTTATTTCTACAATGCTCATATATTTCAAAGTTAATAACACGATGCTGATAGATCATTCATATCTGATGGACAGGAACAATTGTTTGAATTTCCCATTCTCTCTTATTTTATTTTTTAATCTACTCTTTTATATATTAATACTTCTGCTAGTGTACACAAGTATTGTATGGATTTTGGTGTCAAAATACTAGACAAAGTCTTAATTCTTGGCTGGTTTTCCAGGGACCTGGTGGTTTGACGGGAGGACTCCCTAACTTGTCAGGAGGGGCCCAAATCTCCCCACAGGATCAGGAAAAAGTAAGCAGAAGGAAACTGGTGGCTTTGGCTGTCTAAAAACCAAGTTCTGCAACTTGGCATACAAAATAAAAATGAAACAAGCTCAAAATTTTCAAGGCCTCAAATCAACTGCTTTCGATTTTTGCAAAGAGATATGTTTGATTCAGCCACACTGTAGTTGCTTTACATGTACTTTCAAATTTTGCACTTGAATGTCATTGTTTTGTTTCAATGCCTTTTATAATACGTTCTGTATTAAGTCAAAAGATTATTTATGTTTTTAAAGAGATTTTTTTGCTGTTAATAAAATTTTAACATTTCATTCCCAGGCGGCCCTGATTATGCAGGTGTTACAGTTGACTGATCAACAGATCGCTATGTTACCTCCAGAACAGAGACAGAGCATCCTAATTCTCAAGGAGCAGATCTCGAAGAGTGCTGCTCAGTGAACCGTGGATACTAACTTCACTGCTCAGTGATCCATGTCTACTCTCTTAAAAACTCTCTTAAAAACCTACATTCTTTTTCTTTGTCAATTAAGGAATTTAAAGCATATGTTTCATTGAACATTCATTTCTTCATTAATGAATAAAGATTTCATTTTGTCATGAAATGGACTAAAATGTTGATGTTTCATTCAAATGAATGGTAAACATAGACCAAGGGGTACCAAGCCAGATGATGGCTGAAATATGAAGGGAAAGATCTTGGCACTCTCTCAGAGTAGAACAAGCATGCTGAGAGTATTGCATTAGCAATACTAGTCCCCTACCGGCAAGTGTAATCTGGTTCCCGTTAAGAATTGAAAATGCCATAATTCTGTCAAAAATCAATGAAGCGGAACGAAATGCAAACTTGATCTATAACTAATCAAGTCACATACCAAAAATTAGCTCAATATCTGAAAGTGTTTAGAAGAAAATTGCGGAAAACCCTTAAAAATTGAAAAGGCTGTAATTCTGTCAAAAATCAATGAAGCGGAAAGAAATGCAACCTTGATCTGTAACTCAACAAGATACACTCACATAACAAAAATCAGCTCGATATCTGCAAGCATTTTAGGAAAAAAGTGTGGAAAACCAAGTGGGACAGACGGACGAACAGAGGAAACCTATAGTCCCCTCTGGTTTCACCGGTAGGGGACTAAAAAGAGACTACAAAGTAAAGATATGTTTCCATCTGACAAAGCTTGTAACAAATGAATATAGTCCTTGTTTGTAAGGCTCACTGATACTGTTCAATTGCATTTTAGAGGAACTTGGTTTTACGTCTGTATGAATTGGGATCTCAAAACAGTTGATGCATTTAATTCCTGTAACATCTTTACTCTATAACTAAAAAATTGTTTCAAGCACATGTGCAAGGCCCTTGGCAAAAGGGGGGGGGGGGGGGCATAAAAAGAAATCCAAAACTTTTATTTAGATGAAATAGCTTATATTTTTTCTTTTTGTAGCAATGCTGCTAGATTTTGCTTATTCATATGTGAAAAAATAACTTTTTAGAATGCACCAGAACTCACCAAAATGACACCCATTTGTTAAAAAAAATCTAATTCAGAGTTGGTGATACCCCTCCCAGACTCTTCCTCCACTTTTCCAGAGGCTTATTGAAGGCCATGATGTGCAACAGAACTTTTATTTAGTTTTTTGTAAGCCAGTGGAGCTACAGTCACGATGTTTCTACTCATATAAATCAATGTGCATAGTTTTCCCTGCATGGAAACAAAATGTTTTTACTCTTAAAATTCACAGTAAAGGACATGACCTGATGTGTATTTTAATTACCTTGAAACCAACAAAAGAATATATTTTAAAATTTTAAAATATCACTTAAATATTAATAGACGTGCATCTTTGTCCATTTAATAGCATTTCTACTTCAACACTGACTTTAAACTTTAAACTTTACATTTGTACACGGCTCTGGGATTTTTAATGGCGATAATTGAGACACTTTGTCCTGTAAGACATATTTTGTAATGTTGTCTTTGATCTTAAATATAACTTTTGTATTCAGTTCCATAGTTAGAAACCATGGGGACATCGGGGTTCATCCCCTCCTTCAAAGTCTATGACATTTCTCCAACCAGGAAGTAAATTGGAAATATCGTTTAAAGTCTCGCCTCAGATCTCATTCTCACATTCCAAAGTTCTGTCAAGGAAGTCATTTAGAGGTCATTCATAAAAGCTGTAAGTAATAAATACATTTTCATTATTTAAGACTGGATTATGATACAGTTGTAATTGGGGGATACATTTAAATAATTGTGGTGTCTGTTCGTGTGTTTCAGACATAATTACTGTAAGTGTAAACGCTTGTATGAAGATATAATGTCATTGTGTGTGTAGTCATATTCTAGTAACTACTCTACGTAGCATAGAACACATTTCCTAATTTCCTTCTTTCTTTGACTACACGATTCCTATCATTTTTAGATGGCTTTATCTAAAATGGATATTCCCCGCACAGCCCAGCACTTTTTGGAGTGTGCCATTGAAGAATGTGAAAGAAATTGTGAGTTCTATTGCAACCCTTGTCACATAAGGTTGTGTAAACAATGCAAAGATGAACATCTGAGAAGTCCAGAAAACAAGAACCATGAGGTAGTCCTTTACCAGCAACGTAAACGACAACTTCCTGTGGAGAAATGCAAGATCCATCCCACTAAAGATATGGATATGCTCTGTGAAGAATGCCAAGTTCCAGTATGTTCCAAATGTGCTACACAAGGAGACCATCACGGGCATATTTTCACTGATTTAGAAAAAAAATATGCAGATAAATCTGCAATCTTTCAAGAGGAAATCTCAAAAATCCAGGAATATTTTCTTCCCATTTCACAAAATTTACTGAAAGAAATTAAAGAAGATTCCTCAAAAATCAAACACATCATGGACAACATCAGAATATCCATGAAGACTGAAGGTGAATCCCTGAAAAGTCTGGTGGACACAGTCGTATCTGAGAACTTGAAGCAGTTAGACCAGATAGAGCATTCACTGTTAGAAGATCTAAAAACCCAAGACAAGACTATGGATGATTACATCACTTATCTTAATGACCTTGTCAAAGAGCTCCACATATGCCTGTCCTCTAAAGAACCCCAGAAATTAATGTCTAAGAAGAAGCCAAAGATCCAATCCATACCAGAGACAACAAAACCAGTCACACCAAGTTTTACTGCTGGCCAATACAGCAAAATTGATATCACTCAGTTACTTTGTAAAATACATGTCCCCAACACTAAAGCAGAAAACAGAGAAATAAGGTCCATTGAAAGTTTCTACAATACAGATACAGCAATGAAACTTACAAATCAACAGATGAAAGAAGAAAGAACGAAATCTGACAAGAAACAAACATTGTCTCTAACTGCCTCTGTCACCAAGGTCAGGAAGCTCAAAGTACCACCAGGTGTTCATGGAGTATACCACATATCACAACATCAATCAAACAGACTCTGGATCAGTGACTTGGATGGTAATCTTGTCCAAACAGATCTACACATGAATGTGATACAGAAGATAAAAACCAATGGTAAATGGGAAGGTTTCCACACAGTGACACAGGACGGGGATCTGATCTTTACAGACAAAAACAAGAAAGTCATCATTAAGAAAACACATGATAATTATATCACTGAATTCATGAAAACCGGAGACTGGAAACCATTCAGCATACACTCCTCCCACATCAACGGGGACTTACTGGTAGGGATGGCTAGAGAGGCTAAAGGACTGTTACGGTTGATGAAGACTACAGAGGAAAGTAAAGTGACCAGGTACAACACGACAGGAAAAGAACTACAGAACATACAGAGGGATAACAAAGGACAGGAACTGTATATAACACCATACTACATCACAGAAAACATTAATGGAGATATCTGCACATCAGACCATAGTAATGGAGTGGTGGTGGTGAATAAATCAGGACAACACAGGTTCTCCTACAGAGATCAGAAGTCAGAGTTTAAGCCCTATGGAATCTGTACTGATGTCCTCGGACACATCCTGGTGTGTTATGGTGTCAGTGTTCAACTCCTTGATCAGGACGGTCAGTTCTTGTCTCTATTACTCACACAACAACAAGGGGTAGAGTGTCCCCGTGGTGTGTGTGTGGATGATGAGAACAATCTCTATGTCGGACAACGAGACATCATCATACTGACAGTGTACAACTATCTCCAGTGATTCTTATTTTGGCATAAACACACTGCATGGCAAATTAAAATGTGCACTTACTCATTATTTTTGTTATTTATATTCAAATTCATTACTGTTCATCACACATAGTCTGGAATCTCATAACTTTAATTTTAGATAATACTCTGTAAAAAAAAAAATTACCATAATTACAAATTTATAGTAATCTAGTATGTATGTATGCTTGAACTGCTTTCCTCGTATATTATGTTGTATTTTTTTTTTAACAATTTTAATTAAAATATCTACGAAAAAAAGTAATAAGATACAAACTTTTAGATTTAACATATATTGTAAATAATGGTACACATCCTTAAAGTAGATTTTCATTTTTGTTAACAAAATTGTTCATTATGAAATCTGTAATTAAACAATAAAAAAAACAGTATTTCTTAGTATTGTTTAGTATGTCTTCTGCTGCAGCCAGTGGATTTAGCATTATAATTCCTGATACTGCATACAATTTTACCTGATACGGAGTATAACACACTCAAACTCAATAGTTGATAGTTAAATACCAATAATCCATCATTGCAAATACAATTTTTTTTTCAACGAGAATTGATGGGTTTTTGAGTTGTGACATTTAAAAGTTATTACATTTTTTTCATAATATTTAGCCTTAAAAATGTACGTTACCAAGGGGTTTCATTACTTTTCAGTGACTTTACATAAAATATAATATTATAAATATCAAATTTCAACAAGGTATGATAAGAAGACTATGTGTATGTAATTTAAAAATATTGAATGCTTGGGATGAAATTTATCGTTAATGATATACACGATATTTAAGTATATGTTATTATTTGGACTTTTCCGTTTTTTAGGCATGCAAAAATACTGCATGTTTTACACTCCACAAAAAATTGTGTATGTTATACTAGAAGAAATATAATACAAATAACATTGTAAATATTTACTTTAATCTTCATTTAAAAAATATGGAAATCGGCGAACACAATGCAATGTCTTTGCAATCAAATAACAAAAAGGGACTAAAAAGTAACGTACATTTTATGAAAAACCTGTTTTGAAAGAAAGATGCAAATTAAATTTTAACAACACTTATTCACTTATTTCCATAATATTTAGTGTAAATTGTTTTATTGACACAAATAACACATTAATAGTGCTTAAATATATTATGCAGGTGTCAATAAATGATGTTGGCAGTCATTTAATTGCGAAAAAAAGGGTAAATTTGTGCCATTAGAAAAATATGTTTGGATTTTGTGCCAAAATTTTTCGTAACTAAATATTAATGTGATCATAAACAATCATAAAAAGAATATTGATTTTTACTAAATTCTCAAAAACAAGTCAATTTTCCAAACTGTGATAGTCATATCATTTCGAAATGTACGTTACCAACAAATCATACTAAATTTTTTGTAAATTCCATGTTTGTCTAACATAACATTATGTACCAAATCATACAATACAGGCTTTTCTTTACTTCTAAAATCATGTTTGCTTCTTTAAAATTACATTACAGTATGTAAAGTTGTTAAATTTGGACTGTCCGTTACATTTCACAAACGTTGGAAAACTTTTCCCAGTCACCGCTATCTAGCTTATACATTCTTCCTGATTTGCCTGAGGGGGTTGGTTTGTTCAGCTTCAATTTAATGTCGGAGGATTTGCACCACAAAATGTCTTTCTGACGTGGCCATTGGAACATATTTTTACGTTTTTCCATGAAGGAAATGTTGTATGTATAACCGTTTTCATCATCTGGGTCTTCCTCAATAATTTGGCCGACATACCACTTCTGTTCGTATTTTGCTACGACAAAGTCTTCAATGCTGCATTTTACCGACCCTATATCGGCCACCCTTTCCATTTCCTGTTCCGTTGCACCATCCTTCTCCATATCTGCTACTGCTGTGCATTCTTGTCGCCAGGTGTCGCAATGATCTCCACTGACACACAGTAGCAACTTGTGTCTCTAACTAGAATGGAGTTTGAGCCACATCTACGACGGTATGAATCTTCATAGTACCCTTTATGGTTTTAACGTTGATGTTTTCTAACTCTTTGGCCGTGTCCTCGCACCTCTCCTTCGGGACAAATAGAAACCGAACACTACTCATATTACAAGAAGACGATTGTGTCCAAGCAAAGAAATCTTGTGCATCTTGTATTACAACTTTGCCTGATTTCATGGCCTGGTCGGCCATACGCTTAGTTACTCCCCCAAGCCCATCAAATGGACCCTTTCCATGCCCGGCCTCAAAGTAATTCCACCTAGCCTTGATGCCTGTTGTCTCTTCATGGTCAGCAACAAAGTTGAAAATAGTTCTGTTTCTGTACTGACTTGTTGGGCTGTCAGTCAAATAAATAAATGTATAAACTGGACCTCTGGATCCCCCTCTTTTATTCCTTGTATGATCACTTTTAAAAAGGTCAGAACTGTCGTGGCATTGTCATTAAGATCATCCGAGATTATCACAAAGCTCTTGTGGCATACCGGCTAGTCTTCTGCAGCTCTTCTGTAGATTACAACAGTATGTAATGTGATCGCTTGCTGGTTCCAGTAAGCTGACTGGATTTCTTCCATCGACCTACAGCTATAGTTCTCAGCAAAATCCATGTGAATAACAACATGGTTGGGCATCAATGTCTCCTTCAACAATTTTATTTGCTCATACTGTGTTTTCATTCTACTAACATGGCTTTTGAACTGCTGTGTCTGTTTCTCTAAGTGTGCGATGAATTCATCCCTTGATTTGTTAACCTTGACAATTTTCATCACCATTTTTTTTCTTTCCCTTCTCTTCCACTGCAACCCTTTTCCATTCCTCAAAACTTATATCGGAACTGGTAATACTTTCTTTGATATTTTCAATCAAAAGGTTGTCCAAGTAGTTTTCTGGATTGGTTGGAACGTTTTCTCGTCGGAGGGCCTTCAGTAATAATGCCATATTCTGGTGTTTAGTACACAGGCAACTGTCTCGTGTGATAAATGCTGTTGTGCGGATGTATTTTGGTCTTATTCGTTGAAAAGTCGCAAGGGAAAGCTTTACTGTGGGATTTTCTCTTAGAAATTTACGGTGCAAGTTTGACAGGTAGTCTGTTAATACCCGAGTCTGTGTGCTTCTATGTACACCAGTTTTCACTTCGTCTGCTTTTCCAGGTAGGTTCCTGCTATTTTCGTCACGCTCCAAGAAGCAAATAACTTCATCTCTGTAGCGTCTTATTTCCCTTGCTTTCTTTTGTATTCCAAAATCAATCACCTTTGTCGTCACTTTGCCCAGTTTTTTTCTATTGAAGCCCGACATCTTGCTAAGTATGTTTACACACCTGTATTTCCTAATGATTTTACTTGCTAATACGTTTCGTATTATTTTTCCTTTTCCTAGATTATTAATTTCTCTAGCCTTCTTCACCTCTTCAATCAAAGCGTTGCTCATTAAGAGTTGTCTTCGAATGTTTTCTACCTGGTCATCTTCCAGACCTGCCTCTTTAATCTGTGCATTTGACTTCCTTTTTGGTGTTGAAGGTTCATTTGTTGTTTCTTTCTTTTTCATGCACTGTATCTTTCGTAATGTTGTCTTGTATTTTCTCTGCAGTGTTTGGAATTCTGTTTTCAGCTTCGTCAATTCTCTACTCTTTTTTGACAATGCTCTACTTATTCTCTTCCTTGGGCTGTTTCGTCGAAATAATTTCGACTACAAATCTTTATGAAGATTCACCTTGAATTCCTGGACTTTCATAACTTCTTGTGTCCATGCTTTCTGAGTTGTGTTCATTATTCATAGCTTCTGCTGCTGATATATCTTTTTCTCTCTGTCTATGGCATTTCAATATTTCGTTATTTTTTATGTTCCTTCGTAATCTGTCTCTCCTGGAGAGCTGAGAGGATGGGACATAACTCTTTCGTCGACGTTCTCTCTCCTTTCTCAGATACTCTTCTTTATTTTTGGCCTTAAGTATTTCTCGGTATGCTTTCTGAATTTCAGCACGTGATTTTGTCATCTGATTTAAATAGAAATGAAATAAAATTATATTAACATGATAAGAAATGTTCGTTACCACATTTCATAAATGTTCGTTACTCAGGAATATTGGATAAATTTTGAAAAAAAATATTAATTAAATTTTGGTAAGGAAACATCTGTGATAAGCATGAGTATAGATGTATGCAATTTTTCTGTACAGTAAATGGAATAGCAAAATGTCAGTTTTTTTCCTCCAAAATTTCAACAGGTGAAGAATAATTACCAAAAACAATATTTACAATATTTTTTTAAATATTGTGTTCAAACGTATTGTTATTGTTTAAAATACACAAACGAATCAAAAATAAAATTATCAAACATGTAACACATTGTTTCTAAACCAATTAACTTCATAGCGTGATAAAGAAATTAAAAAAAAAAAAACTTCAAAACGATATGATACTAAAAGTGAAATATAATGTTCGTTACCATCAAGTAACGAACATTTCTGTGTTTATTTTGAGCATTTTTATAAATATACAGCACAAACAATGATGTTAAATTTTAAGCAGTAGTCTATTTATTCATTCTCAGTTTTTCTGTTTAAAAAATATTATAATTTTGTTAATAAATCACGGTACACATCACTGAATTCACCTACCTTGTGTTCTGCATGAAGACTTTCGGAAATTGGAAATTTGAATACTCCTTCAACAATGACATTCAAACAAAATGGCGCTTTGTAACTTTCATCCCATAAACGCTTGAAGTTGGGTTTTCTCGGCGTTTAAAGTAACCGAATTCAAAACTATGTAACGAACATTTCGTTAACGGACATTTCGAACAAGTACATACCATGGAATAGTGATTCGAATAAAAGTATGATTGCTGATATAAATGTTGGGGTTTTTTTTACGACACACATTATCTTTGTAATGAAACCACCAGTCGGTGTGAAGATAGTACGTTTAGTTGCATGAATACGGTAACGAACATTTCATTCTTATTTCATCGCAGCTAGAAAGCAAAGTTACAGACTGAATTAAAGTTTTGCGGATGAAGAGTTGAAATTAATATTTCTTAAAAAGGATATTCGTGATAGTTAGCTTCATAAAATAACATCACTTGTCTGTAGTTA